ATGGCTCAAGAGATGCAGTGGCTGAGTGAGCAGAGCACTAGCGTGCCATTCGAGAGATCCGAGTTCGAGTGCTAGGGCAGGAGAATTTTCTTTTTCCAATTTTATTTTTTTCTTGTGTAATTTTTATAAACTATATTTATTGAATTTTTTTGCTTTTTTGGTCTAATTTTCTTTTGATTTATAGATTTTATTGCTTTAAAAAGGAAAAAAATTTTTTTAAATTTAATTCTGGCATCTGTCTTTCAACTCACCTCAGTCTTTCGAGAGACAAAAGTCTATCTTGAAAGTTCTTTTCTGTATTTCGAATGAGTAATTGAAGGATGTGCTAATAGTCTTATTATATTTATCGTTTAGCAATAAGTTTTCTAAAAACTAAACGAAATGAAAAAAATATCTTTTTAAAACAGGAAAAACTAAAAATTTGAGAAGCTGAAAGTAAAAGAAAAATGATGAATTAAAAAAATTTCCAAGCGTTAAATAAAATAAAAAATATGAGTTTTTTCTGCAATAAATCAAAAAAAAAAATTTTATTAAAAAGAATCCCTCGCCGAGGATTGAACTCGGATCTCCTGAATAGTATGAAGTTGCTCTGCTCACTGGTCCGTTGCTACTATTACAGCAACGTTAACGAAATTGAAATTTATTGAAAACAAACAAAAAATTTCAAAATCATTCGTTAAAAAGTTAAGTAAAGGTTTTTGTTTACTTAACTTTAATGTTCATTAAATGCCGTTAACGAATCATTAACTGACTCTGAGAGGGAATTTTTTTAAATCTTTACTGAGGGACACCTTAAGTAATCATTAAACGACTCTGAGTGCGGCTGTTAATTTCATAATTTTTGTCTCTGAGAGGTAGGGTGGCCAGATACGCTGATTTAATCAGTACGTGTGCTGATTTTTTTCTATTGCACTGATTTTTAAGAGCCCGAAATCAGTACGCAAAATCTACTGATTTTTTGAGTTTGTACTGATTTTGTACTCATTTTTACATTTAATACTTTTGTAAATTGGTGTAATTGACTTTTACTTGAGGTTTACATGTACAAAACAATGGTTTTTGACAACTCATACGTATGAGCAGATTGAAAGCATTAATTAAATTTAAACCATTATTAAAAAGGTGTCAGCTTGCAATTGTTTCGTTTCCTGGATTTCGCAAAATAACAAACTGTTTGGATTCAACCCAACCCAACTTCACGATTTGCAGGTTTTACAGGATTTACAGGAAAAGCTGGTTTCGCCATTAATAAATCTTATGAAAGGTGGTGGTGAGTTAATCATATATTAAGTACACTGAGAAGATGAGAATTAGAGATAATCTTTCGATTATAATTAAACATCCACTGAGAAATCGGCTGTCAGTATTTCAAACTTAAAAAGACTACTGCTACGGTGCAATGTAAGTTCTAAAAATGTTGAAAAGGTGCAAACTACCGACTCTTGGATATGATATATGTAGTTTTACTTTGATTTTTGATATTCGACCACCTGTAATTTTACTTGCACATACACATTTAACACTATTAAATTTTATTCGTACACGAGAATTCGTTTAGCGATAATTCGGTAATATACCATTTAGTCAACATTTTAATGTGAATGTTGTATTTAATAAGCACACCAACTAAATATGTTTTAAATTTGTAACTTAAAATATGCAAACAGATTCTGACTCGAACTCGTCTTCTACTGAAACTGAATGAGCTACAAACTTTCTTTATTTTCTCAATTCTTATAAATTTTCTAGACAGTTTGAGACTTCAACTCACATGTCTTTTGTTATAGAATTAACTATATATTTTTATTAAAAAAAAATTAAATTATGTAAGGAAAGAAAAAATTTTCAAAACCTGTCAATACATTTTACTACTATTTTCCTGAGCACAGCTGTACATACATACGTAATACCATTGATTTGTTTTAAAGTAATGAATTTTTGTATTGATAATACTATACGTATTTAAAAGCCTATTAGTTATTTTTTTTTTAAATGAATGCGCTGTTATTTGGTTGTTATATTGTTAATAATAAAAAATACGCTTAAAAATGAGCTGATTTGTATGGCTCTGTACTGATTTTTGATCCCAACTGTACTGCTTATGTCCCTATAATATCTGGCCACCCTACTGAGAGGAAACATTAATTAACTGATTTAACGATCATTAGTTAAGTGCCCGTTAGAGATAATTTAATGAACGTTTCTAAGTGCGGCTGTAATATGGTAGCGAGACTGAGAAAATTAATTTGAATTAATAAGCATAAATGCAAATTAAAATTTTACCCTTACAGACGGCAGTAATGCGAATAAACCAGCCGCAAGGTCGTGGGTTCGAGTCCCACGGCCNTTTTCGCAATCGCTCCAACCGGGTATCGAACCTGGCAGCTACAGGCTTGTAGCTCGCAACTCTCACCACTCGGCTACCGCGTACGCGAAGCTCGACTGCTTCGTTTGCTTACTTGTACAAAAGACAACAACTGGCCGTTTTTACCAGTGTTGTCATCGAAAATTCCCCGGATCCGAGTTAATTCCCAAAAATTTCGTGCATTTGTTCGGCTGCTTATGCTCATTTTAAAGAGGAAAATGCATGAGTTAAAGCAAATTAAGGCTGGTTATGCAAATAATCGAGCCCGTTTGTCTACCGTATAAGTGGTCTAAGTGTATTGTATCGAATGGTTTAGGGTTTTTTGGAATATTGTGCAGCAGTTTTGTTTAAATATGTCTATTTTGTTTTCATTTTCGGAAACCAGTAGTTTGCTTTAATTTTTTGATAACACTTTTCAACCCCTTGGTGACCTAACTGTTCGTGGACTGTTCTAATGACTTCTTTTTCCAGCTCCTTAGGGACATATAAATGTAAGATATTTCTGTTTTTTAAACACTACACCATTTTCCATAACAAAATTTTCCACGTTTCCTTTTTCTAGTTTATTCCTTAGTTGCACTATATCTGCATCACGGTGCAGTTGGAAGTCTACATTTTCACTGTCGACTACCGCTATAATATTTTCACTGTCGACTTCGTTTCTGCTAAGCGCATCTACGAGTGGCATTTTTGTACCTGCTCTATGGGCTATTGAATAATTGAAGTTTTCTAGCTCTAGTGCCCTCCTTGCTATTCGATTGTTCACTAATTTCTTATTGAGTGTCAATGTTAGGGAGTTGCAGCCGGTTAATATTTTAAACTTTATGCCTTCTAATTAACTCAAAATCTGCGTAATGCATTTACAATAGCGTGGGCCGAAAATCCGCTTTTTTAGAATTTTTATTGGTAATAGCAAAAATATAGTTCACTATGCTATAAAAAAAAATCTGTGTGAAATGTGAAAATTTTTGGTCAATATCCAAGTCCATCTCGCCCAAGTCCATCAACATTCAAGTACTAAAAATTTTTTATTCTTAGCTAACTTCGTCATATACCAAATTATGAAGGACTATTACTTTCGAAGATTATTGCAATTTTAGTAAAAAAAATGTAAAAATTAATTTTTGTATTAATTTTTATTTTTTTAGCATATTGAACTTTGATGGGCTTGGGGGAGCCTAGGATATTGACCAAAAAATTCCAAATTTTACACAGATTTTTTTTTAAAGCATAATGAAACATATTTTTGCTATTACCAATCAAAGTTCTAAAAAAGAGGATTTTCGGCCCACGCTAATATACAATGTCCAAATTCTCCGATTCAAAACTATTACAGTAGTTTTCCGATTTAACGAACATTCGATTATATGAAAACCGCATATAACGAACGTCCCCATTTTTTATACTGAGTACCTTATATAACGAATAAAAGGAATGAAGCTGTACTCAGTTTAACGAACAACATGCAAATATTTGGTTTTCAAGGGTAAAAAATAATTCTAAGCCAAATGAAAATAAAATAATGTAAAAAAAATATTTTTTAAAAACAAGCTTTTATTTAACCTGTACAATCAAAGGAATAAAATAAAGTAGTGTAACAAAAGATTTTTTAGCAAGAAAATTTTGTCAAAACTGCACTAAAATGAATAAAATAAAATAAGTTAAGGTCTCGTTAAAGTTACTAAAAGCCATTTAGTGAAAGGAGTTATTCAAACTCTAATGAAAATTACTAACAATTTGTACTAATTTACTTCGTTTTTAAAGAAGCTTGTCGCGCGAATAGCAAACCGGCATTTAAATATCTGCATACATACATATACATACATACCTAACAAATTATGCATGTACGCTGAATTCGCCGACAAGCTTGGATGGAAATTTTCACCCAATAGCGTACTTTTCTAAAAGAACATGTGAGGCAGAGAGTAGGTATCATATACCTTATTTATACCTTCCCAAGAATCTTTCAAGCATTTATACCTTTGTCGTTATGGCGCACTCGCTGGAACCGTATTCAAAAGTAAACAAAATTTGTTATTTTTATTCGATAATTAATTTGCGCGTTGTACCGAAATGGAAGCGACCAAGAATTCAAATTTGTTATAATAATAATTCAAATTTAAACGGGCTGTATAAAGAAAACCAGCCTTTTTCACTTCGCGTCAAATGAGTGATGTGTTTATACCTGTTTTCTAACCGATGTGAGAAATAAAAAAGCGATTTCAAAACAAATTCGATTCAATACACTTTCGAATTTCTGAGCGTATTGAAAGTTGGTTTAAGCTTCCGTTTTGAATCACAGCGAACTGGGTCAAAGCGCTTTATGTGTTGGTATAAACAAGGTACAGTAGTTTTCCGATTTAACGAACACAATTATTGTCAGGTCAATTCGTTAAATCGGTGTTTTCTTTAAATCGAGTTTTAGTTTTTAATCACATCGAATAAACACTACAATTTTAAAAATTCATACACATTTGTTCTTTAAATTGAGTACTTTATTAATAAAAAACCAAACAACAAAAGCAATTCAAGTCACATTAGCTGGCAATGTTTTCGACATGCAGTTGATTAAGAATATTCACTTTTAATTTAGATCATGGAGCTTTTTAATTTACAACATAAAAAATCTTTGCATCTACTTGAAAAATTGGTTAATCGTGGATTGTTTTTTTGGAATATTTAGATTCATTTTTACTGCTTCTTCTTGAAGCTCTACTAGTACAATCTGTTTTGTTGATTCAATATTGTTCTGTTTGGCCCACTTGATGCACACATCAAAACTTTTAATGACATCCTCATGCTTAATTTTAAGCTCTTCAGTTTCAATATTGTCGTCATTTTCGTCATGATCATCTTCAGCATAATCGAAATCTTGCTCAGGCCCCTGCTGCACCCATTCATTTAGATCGTCGACTGTAAACCGGATCTTAAATACAACGTAGGGTTTTTTGTAAAAGTACATATTAAAAGAGGTTCACAAATTTCCACTCAAAACATACATTTGGAAACACTGAGTTTAGCAAATTTACTCCACTCCTCATTGCTAAAGTGTCTTCATCCTGCCGTAAAAAAGATGACAGTGGTAAGTCGTCTCCTTCATCGAAATTGTCGTTCCCTTTAAGAAGCTTATTCCAGCATTTCGCCAATGATGCTTCAGAAATGTTTTCCCATCCCAAAGCTAATGCTGTTGCAGCATCGTAAAGCGTGTATGATTTCAAAAATGCAATTACATCCTGGGTTTGAGTTGCGAAAAGTCTCGATAGAAGGGAACTTTTGTAGTGCAGCTTCAACAATCGAATTGCACTTTGGTCCATAGGCTATATAAGTGGTGTAACATTTGGCGGCATATAAAGCACCCAAATTTTACCACTTGCCGAATTTTTTACCAAATCCTCAGCCGGAGGATGAGATGGAGCATTATCGAGAATTAATAAGGCATTAATAGGAAAATTGTTTTGGGCGAGAAAACATTCCACCTTTGGTAAAAATCACAGTAAGAATAAAATAAAACTTAAAATTTTTTGAAAAATTTACCCTTGAAAAATTTATCGAAAAACCAATCTTTAAATATGGTGCATGCCATCCACGCATTTTAATTAATAACTTCTTGCAGGTGTTTTTTAAATGGATCAACTAGTTCCACATTGGATGAAAGCTTTTCGCCACTTTGCTTTAGAAGTCCTATGCCAAATCTGTTTTTGAATCGCGTCAGCCATCCATGACTCACATTAAAACTTCCGCCATATATTTCTCGGTGTATATCCTTCGCTTTGTGTTGCAATACAGATCCAGTTATGGGAATGTGTTAATTATGCTGCGCCAAAAACCAGGAGACAAATTTTTCTTCTATTCTTGGAAACTCGCCACTTTTAATTGCTTTCCTATTTTTGGATTTGTAACGCGATATTTCAGAATTTTTTAAAAGTGTTTCTTTAGATTTCAAAATTGTTGAAACCGTAGATGCTCTTAGATTGAAGTTTTTACACAACTCGGATACACGCACACTGTCCAAGCGAGGCCGCCGTGTTTAGCATTTAGATTTGTAAAAAATGCTTAACTTGTAAAAAACATATAACTTTGTATAACCAAACTGTTCTGAATTCAAATTTCCATTCTTATTCATTGAAATGAAATATCGTAAATGAAATATCGTAAATGAAGTTTGACATGTTAATTAGTATCACATGGCAACATCGGTGTCAGCACAATTCAGCACTTTGACATAAGTTTACAGACTCAGGGTAGGTATACGTATGTATGCAGATACATAAAAACAGATAAAATTCTTTTGTTCTCAAAATTACGGCTATATACAATTAAAAATACATATATAATTAGCACTTTTGGCGGGAAAATATACACATTTACATATTATTCGTGAGTTAACGACGAACGATATATTTGTTTTGCAATACCGCTTGTCGACGGTAGAATTCGGCAAAAGTTCATCCACCAGCTTTATCGAAAACGAAACATACCCACATATACGAATACATACCATTAAATATATACATACGTGTGTGTCTATGCATATGTATATACTCATAGAAAAACCCGCCATATAAGCAAACTACACTAAAAAATTGTGCAAAACCCAGATTGGCTGCGTCTCGTACAAGCCAAATAATTATTGAAAATCATTGGGTGAATAATCAAAGTGCTTATTTTTCGATACCCAAGTAAAAGCGTATTTGCGTACCTACAGTCGTACATATGTACATTTAAATAGATAAAGTTGTGTTTTTTCGAACATTCCCTTTGCTCGTATAAGCAGTATCCCGTTCCCAGTTCGTTCGTTCCGCAAAAGTGCCACATATATGTACATAAAAAGTAAATAGCATATACAGTGGGCCAAAAAACTCATCTCAGCGAGATATAATTATAAAATTGAATATACGCTTATTTAGTAACATATCATTTCTATTATACATAAAATACGTATATTCTGTGCTTACAGTGTGAGTAGAAAATAGTTTGGCGAGTAAACAAGATACCACCCCTACCCATTCAAACAAAGTGGTTTCCCCAATTTTTCTTAATATAAACTAGTCCATCTCAGTTCAACCAGATACCTCCAATATCCACCTTTACATCTCTTTAACGGAGCTACTGAAATTTATAGCGGACTATTGTGTCTTCTACATACCTCAGCAAAAAATTTTTTTTTTCTCCAAGCTCTCTGATTTCTGCATTTCAAACGTGAATTTAAATT